CAATTTGGATGATGTGTAAGACTCTCAAGGAATGAGGATTGTTGGCCGAATGCTAATGAAACTTTCTGTTCCCACACAGCTGTCTTGAGGGCTCTCTGTCTTCATTGCTGTTTCCTGCTTGGGCAACCTCCAAGATTTTCTGAGAATTTCTCTCCAAATATTTTTATTGAGGAAGCAAACAAACAAAAAAATAACATCCACCTAGTGTCTGATTTACAGACTTTCAAAGATTTTTTTTTTCCCTTTGATTAAAAGATTGGAGTTAATGACATCTTTCTGAAACTTCTCTGGTACCTATATATTATCTACATTTTATTTTAAATTCTGCTTGGCGATACTCACTGGTACCTTTGATGCAATTTTGCAAATACCGTCTGACATAAGCATTTCACTGAGTTTGCTATGGGGTCAGTGATCGCCCATCAACAAGTGATCAGAATTCTCTGTAATGTAAGCCAGGTGGCCAGGAAGTTGCAGAACTGGGCTTTACCCAGGTAATCTCTTCCTTTAGATTCTTTTTCCTGAGTGCCATGCTAATTTCCTGCAGGTTAGTAGAAGGATGCAAAGAGAATTCGTGCATATCCCTGGGCACAAAGAGGAAACACAATCCCTCCTCGACTCAGCACTCAAGCGATAACCTAGGCTGCTGTCTGTCCTAGAATAGCCTCCTCATTCGAACATATGACACCAACAACATCCACCTCTGTAGCTCTCTAACACCTCTTAAAAACAAGCATGAGGAATATGACAAAGTGACACAGGTCTCTGAGCTGACACGGGCCCATCCCAGACCTTGGGAGCCTTACTTAGTGGCGGGGCGTGTATTTAGGTTCGGAGGCGATTCAGCCAGTACTTTTCTCTGTTCCTGTTCTCTGACCATTTTCCCTCTTCACCTTGCCATCCACCCTGCTAGTTGGCTATCAAATTTAACCCAAGAAATTTTGTCGACATAGTCAGGAGAACACAGCACACGCCATCACGCTGAAATGCGCTGAGGAACCACAAGCTCTTTCTGACTCACTTTAGAGATTGAGTCTTCTGTCTCCAGACCTGTCTCCTCCCTCTGGGATCTCTGCTCCTCCTCACCTGCGGGCTGTCCTTGGGTGACGGCATCTGCTCCCAGGGCTTCTACTCCACGCGTTGGGTGGCCAACATCTCCCCAATGCACGACACGGGTCTCCGTCTCGGTCCCCACCTCTGTTCTCACCTCGGGTTGTCCAAAAAATCTACATCATCACGTGGCAACACACACATCTCTGCATTGTCTCCCACACACCTGTCTCTCTCAGCCCTCCCCATCTTGTAGGGTGGCACCTCCTTCCGGACTTGTGATAACCAAAAATGTCTACAGATGTTGCCAAATATCCCCTAGGGGTAAACTCAGCCCTGGTTGAGAACTAGTGCCGTAGATGGATGGATGGATAGATAGATGATACATACACGATTGATAGGTAGAGATGATAGAAACAGACAAACTCTATCTATCTGTCCACGCTAAGGCAGAGCCTCCACATCTCAGCCATCTTGACCTTTAGGACTGAATTGCTCTTGGTCGTGGTGTCAGTCCCATGCATTGTAGGGTGTGGAGCAGCATCTCTGGCTGAGACCACTGGAGGCCACTTGCAGCCTCCTCCAGTTCTGACAACCAAACATGTCTCCAGATATTGCTGAATGTCCTCTGGGGGCCATGTTCCAGTTTCAGAACTCTGGCTAGAAGACTCAGCACAGGACAATTTGAGTGAGCACACCCTAATGTGGGCAAGCTTGGCAAGTCCAAGGAGCAGAAAGGTGGCCAATAACTCCCGACCCTAAGGCAAGCAGTAGAGAGCTCACCGATGGTCCACCGTGGAGTGTCCTACTAAAATGTCAAAGCAAGGCCCAAGTGGGTCAGAGATTCATCTCTGTAAATAAAAGTAGGCATCTTGGAACACAGATTTAAGAAAAACAGTGGAGTTTTTCCAGTGACTCTAAGTCGTAGTGATAGACTAGCACAGAGTGAACCACCAAGATGGCACCAAAAACAAGTTCCCAATCAGGGCCAAAAACTGAGGGATGAACTTTTGCATAAAACAATGGAAATCTCCATTGGGAGTGCTCTGCCGCAAGCTGGGTGTGCACGATTGCACCTCTTTGTGACTTGAGTCCTACGTCAAATGTCACCTCCCGAAAATTCCCTGTGCCCTGAACATTGGACCACTAAAGCCTTCTCCACTTTCCATCTTCTTCCTTAACTATTGCTTTATGAAATTTGCTACTATCTAGAATTGTCCGTTTCATCATTTTTATCTCTTCAGTTGTCCTTTTTACTAAGAGAGCTGAGCCCTGACCTGTTTTGTTGATGTGCCCAGAACAGTGATTGGCAGATACTGGAAGTCCAAACTGTAGCTCCGACTGCTTTGCAGAAGGAATCCCCGCATGCAAGACTCACACCAAACAGCACTGCACACCGAGGGAAGCTTACACAGCACCCGCCTTAGTTTTCTGTTTATTTCTGCACCTCTGAAAGCCCTGCAGCCAGTTTGCAGAGCTGACTGCGCCCTGAAGTCACATACGACATTGACCTGTACATTGCTTTTGCATTATTTTTTTTCACTGAGGTAACATTCCAATGACATAACATTCACTCTTTTAGGGTCTGCAGTTCAGGGGCATTTAGGACACTCATGCTTTTGTGCATCCAGCACCCCTATCTGGTTCCCAGAAATTTTCATCCCCCCGAAAGCAGACCCTACTAGGCAGTCACTTCCCATTCCCTCTCTCCCCACCCCCACCTGTGGGAACCAACAATTGATTTTCCATCTCTATGAATTTGACTGTCGGGGACATTTCTTACCAATGGAGTTGTACGATATGTGCCCTTTAGCCACTGGCTTCTTTTGCTTAACATGATGTTTCTCGGTTCGTTCACGGGTATCATTGCTTCAGTCGCTTTTATGGTGTGCGTCTTGAGCAATGGTAATTGCCACTGTGTAGTCATTTTGCAAAATAGACTTAAAAGGTGAGTTAGAAACTGTATCCGTTAGAGTTCTGCTCACCTGCTGCAGGCTTCTCTGAAACGCACTTTCGGAGTGAGTTTGCTGCACGCACCTGTGCGTTAGACGACGACTCCTGGTTAGTATTGCACTCAAAGAAAAGTCTTTGAACTGTTCCAATAAGGCCATCAGCAAATCCACTCTGCAAAAGTGTATTGGCCTTCCATCATGTGCTAGGTCATGTGTGCGCGTGTTTAAATAAGCAGAAAAAAACAAGGTGTTCCGTTAAAAATAAAAACGGCAACATAAGAGGGTCATTAACCATGCCTGACGCTTCATTCTATCCGGTCTGAACTTGGGTCTTTTGTGTGTTTCTGAGAAGAATTATCAAATGGTCATGTCGACTCCTATTATTATTGTTTTATTATGTCATTTTTTAAACATTTATGAATTTTGAAGAATATTTACGTTCTTATTGAACATCTTTACTCCTAGAATATACTACTCATGTCATCTCCCCGCCTACGTACATTTTAGTTGCTATTTTGTGCGGCCTATTTTTCTAGCCATGTCTTGTCTTGGGGTGAATTTCCCTCTAATCTCCTTACTGGCTGCTTTGCTGTAGACACAATTCCCTTCAGAAACTCTGCCACAATCCTCCACATGTGGTGACGTCTACGGGGCTACAGACATTATGTCATCGAGCTCACACATGGTCCTTTGAAGATAGAATTATCAGGAGCATTACTAATGAGGCATTTGAGCTTCCAAAAAGTTAAGCAACTTCTCTGGCGTAGCCAGGAGGCAGCACTGAGTGTGTCCGACCTCAAAACGTGACTCTTTTTCACAGTTCTAACTCATCTCTAGCAATCTCACCTCTACCAGTCAACAAGGCAGACCCAGAAACTGGGACTCCAGTCCCCCACCCAGTTTGCTGTGCTCAACATCCTGCATTGGACTCCGCAAGATATACTGAGCTCATTTTGGGGGTACCTCTTTCGTCTCTTACTCAAATTTTTTTACCCACTGAGGAGGTCTTATCCCTAACATCACAAAACAAACCTCATTCCCTTGGATTTCACTAGTCTTGGCAACATTACCTTTGGGGAAGTTTTGCACCGCGATTCTGTTCGTTTGAACTTAACCAAGCAAAATATGGTATCTAGTGTTTATTGCTTCTCCTGCCTCCGTTAATGGCACGTGAATGCAAGTTGAAGCTTTCCTCTCAGGTTGTGCGGATCTTACCTGTTGTGACTGTGTGTTCTTCGATGTCCTTCCATATCTTTTGGGAGTTTCCCCTCCTCTACAGTGAGGTTGTTACGGGAGTTGCGTTTCTTCGCAGAATTTTTTAGCCCCTGTCCTGTTTTAACAAGACCAAAACAGCACTAAGCAACAGGAAAAAATATACACTTTGGAATCCGGCACACCCTGGTTCAACTCTCTTTCCCCTGCTGATTTGCTACGTGACGTTGAAACATTTGCAAACGTTCTGAACCTCCGTTTCTGCTGTGGACAATTTAGCGGGATGTGCCTGCCTCACGGGCTTTAAGTGATGGAGTTTAGAAAGTGAATTGCAGAGGACAGGGCTCGACTCCAGCTAAGCCTGCAACCTCCCGTGGAATCCAACGCACGTGCACACTTAGCCATGAGCCCAATTCTTTCGGAAGTTTCCTCTCACTGCTAGTAAATGCAGCAGCACTCAGCCGACAACACGCTAACACACCAAGGAAGTGTGGAGAATGTCATACAACCCAGAAGAGAGAAGCTTGCTGTATAATTGTTCTTTGGCTGCATGAGTCTAAATGACTCATGGGAAATAGGATCACCTTTGACGGCATCTTCCTCAGACACTGTTTTGAATCCACACAATCTTATCCTAACAAGGTGGGGTGAATGTAATGCCCTCTGATGTTTTTTCTGCACAAGTCGGTCTTACGTATATCAATGCAATTATGAAAGTAGGTCTTCGAAGGGTTCAAAGCAATCCAGGCAAGTGCTTTTGGTGGTGGAGATATAAATTTTAATTTCTTGCACTCGAGACGTTGTAGCTGAAAGGTGCTTCCTAAGCCTGGCTCTTAGGAAACTTAACACCCAGCTGGGTGTTTCTGATCACTTTGCCATTGGGGTCCAAGTTCAGACATGTATGAGTTTATGAGAAAACTGGACATGGCTGGCATCTGCTGCATTGAGCTATGCACCTGCGTTCTGTACGGGCTGACTTCCTTTTATTTAGGTGACAAGGGAAAGTGACCAGTAGCATCAAGCTAGAGGCGTTATCTCCCAGCAGAAACACTGATGTGAGGTAGCAGCGTGCGGGATTCTCCATTCATCCTGTAATCCGTTCTCCAGTGATCACGTCGGCGATCACATTTGAGGCTGGTTGTGCATCATGACTAACACGGCAACAGGAAATTTCCAAACTGGTCAAGAAAACATCTTGACCAATGTTTACGCAACAACAAAAACGGAAAAAGAAAACCCAGCATGTTTACCAACCACATTCGAGATGGTTCATCGGGCATGGCAATGTGTCCCTGTGAAATGAGAGTGTTGGTGTTCGGCGGATCAAGGCTTTGATTTGCCCCTTCCGCCTGGAACGCTTTCCTTTCTTGTAATATATACGCAAAGCTCTCTCTGTGGCTGAGATTTTTGCCATTCCTGCTGCATGTGTCCCTCATAATGTTGCTACTTCAGAGCGGTTTTCAACAAGGAGCCTTACAGAACGGTGCCATTTGGGATTCTACATCGTACTTAGCGTCCCATGGACATCAGCATATTCCAAGCTGAAATTCTCCGTGAATATTCTGCAACTGAATGAAGACTAATGAATATGTGTCACTTTCTTTTGAGTCCAGAGACAGAGAAGGACCCAAGGGGATGAATGCACTCTGGGATTGGCCCCCCCACGGGACCCCAGAATGACAATATTGCTAACTTAAGGGCAGGCTGGGGAATCCTTCCCATGTGGCATTTAAGGATCTGCTGTTTCTTATTCTGATTATTATTATTACTTTTTTTTTTTTTTAGGTTTAATAGCATACAGTCCCTGTCAGAAACATCATTTGCAGGACTGACCAAGTTGGAGCTACTTATGATTCATGGCAACGAGATCCCAAACATCCCGGACGGAGCTTTAAGAGATCTCACCTCCCTACAGGTAAACCCGGGCATTATGGGCATCGCTACTTGCATCCTCTTCGACCCACAATAAAAACCAGAAACTCTATTCTTGGGATACTTCACTTAGTAGCTATGCTAAAATAAAAAAGAAAAAAAAAAAGCACAGTAACTCTATAATTCTCTCTAATGATCAACAAAATGACTATTTTTTTTTTTTTACATGAAAAGCAAGCTTAAGGTCATGCCCTTCCAGCCCTTCGTACTGGTTCCTGTCGTTCGCCGTGGGCTTTCTAAACTAAACGGGATTTGTCTTCTCCCCTCCCTGTCTTTGCAGGTCTTCAAGTTCAGCTACAACAAGCTGAGGGTGATCTCAGCACGGACGCTCCAGGGTCTGTCCAGCTTGCTGAGGCTGCACATCGACCACAACAAGATCGAGTTCATCCACCCGCAGGCATTCAGCGGCCTGACATCCCTGCGGCTGCTGCATCTGGAAGGGAACCGGCTGCAACAGCTGCACCCCGCCACCTTCTCCACGTTCTCCTTCCTGGACTATTTCCGACTCTCCACCATACGGCACCTCTACTTAGCGGAGAACATGATCCGCACACTCCCCGCCGGCATGCTCCGGAACATGCCGCTGCTGGAGAACCTCTACCTGCACGGCAATCCCTGGTCTTGCGACTGCGAGATGAGGTGGTTCCTGGAATGGGACGCCAGGTCCAAAGGTAAGAAGAGAAGAGAGAAAACGACTCCCAACCGCACATTCTTTTACCTTCATGGAGATGGTCCAATCTCTGAAGTTTTTAGGTTGCTTTATTTATCTTGCCTTGGGTGAAATCAGTGCATCCGATCAGTAAGGCAGGAGCTTACATGTGACAAGTCACTTCGGTGTTAAGACATCTCCATTGCATATGCTAATGCATGTATCCCTCAGTAAAATATAAAGTAACGAGGTCATGATCATGTAGCCAGTTACGTGGCATTGACTTGGGGTATCGTACAATGAATGTCAGGAGCGTGGCATCCAACCTTGGGCTGGATGTGGGAAGCTGGGATGAGGAAGGTCTATGAATCCATGTCCTGTGAGGAGCTATCAAGGGATGCTTGAAAAAGGGCAGGCTTGGGCTGGCTCCGAGATTATTCTTTTATGGACACAGGAGAGATGTTCAGTACTGATCCAGAGATCAATGACAACCACCAGGATGTATGTGTAGAAGATGCAAGAGTAGATTGTGGTTCAAAATAAGCACAGTTTTGCCTTCCTTCTCTCCTTCCCCCTTCCTTCCCTCCCTCCTTCCCTTCCTCCTTGCCTTCTTTCTTCTCCTCCCTCCCTTCTTCCTTCCCTCCTTCCATTCTTCCTTCCATCCCACCTTCTTTTTCTCCTTCCCTGATTCCCTCCTTCCCTCCTTCCTTCTTTCCTTCCTTCCCTCCTTCTTTTCCTCCTTCCCTCCTTCCCTCATGCCTTCCCTCCCCACTTCTTTTCCTCCTTTTTTCCCTCCTTCCCTCCCTCTTCCTTCCTTATTTCTCCCCTTTCCCTAAGCCCCACCTTGCAACCCATCTCCTATCCTCAGATCCTGTTGGGCTTACTATATCCTGGATCTAGTTGCTTAACTCCATTCTCACGGCAGTCTCCTTCCCTCTGTCTCTGGTAAGAAGGTGCAACATTCTGTCCAGGTCTCCCCACAGCCTTGCTAGCCCCCCCCTCATTCCGTCCGCTCTCTACAACTCAGTGGGAACAGTTTTCAGAGCATGCATTTAGCCATGCCACAGCCCTGCATAGATCCCTCACCAGCTTCCATTGCTCTCAGGATGACACACACACTCTTTCCAAGAAGGTCCCACACAGTGGTCCTTCTACCTGTCTCCCCACACACATTCCTGCCATGTGCTGGTCCCCTTGTTCTTCTAGTCACCCATATCCAGCAACACTGTTCTCTCTTGTGTTCCTTGCACTTTCCAAACTTATTTCCAGCTCAGCATTAGAATTGCTCAATCTCCTGCCAGGAGCATTTTCTGCTAGATGTTCTGCTGCTGGCTTCTTCTCAGCCTTTGGAGCTTCACTACAAAGCTGCCTCCTCTGAGATGTCTTGCTGACCTCTGCTTCCTCTTAGACTCTTCAGCTGGTGCCCGCCTAGAAGCTTCCAAACACCTGCCTTATAGCAGGATTACATATGAGTGGTTTCCCTCCATGGATTGATTCAGGGACCCAGTTGTGTCCACCTCTGGCTCCACCTTAAATTTGGCATCAGAGTCGCTCGATCAGGCAATGGATGTGGGAAAGATGAAGGTGCATCCTCTTGTGAATGGTCTTAACCAGAAAGATACATTCCAGTCCATTCACACTCCATTGGGAAGACTTAGTCCCCACACCCCAATGGGTGCAAGGGGGGCTGAAAGTGCATCTAGATAGCTTTCTCACAGAAGCAACACGACATTATGGAATTGGAGCTACGGAGCTTTGGCAGGTAGAGAACCATCTTTTCCAATGTCTGGAGGAGACACGTGTGCATGCCTTTGTATGTACATGCCTATGCATGCATGTGTTTGTGTGTAGGTGTGTACATATGTGTATGCGTGGCGTGTGTGTATGTGTATACATGGGGGGAGGTGTGCAAAACAATCCTATTTGCATTTTGAGGTGTTTACTCTGAAAGTCACCTAGAAAACTGATTGCGGTGGCAAAGGAAAAAATAGTGAAGCCAGACAGGGGCTTTACAACTCTACATGTCATGGATAAGGCAGTTTGACTGGCTTCCATCCAAGGGGGAATGGAAGGATATGGGCAGATTCCAATAGGACTGTCAAAAGAACTTCCACCAGTCTTCAAGTTCCCCCAAAGTGGAGAGATTGTGGCACCACTTACTGGTGTAGAGAAGGCATGAGAAGTCTAGTTGTGGGGCAGGGAGAGAACATAATTTTTTTTTCTGTAGATGTCAGTTCAAAGAGCCTTTGTGATATCTAAAAAGGCACATCAAATAGACAATGGGATGTGGATGAGAATGTGCTTGGCTTGGAGAAGCACGTAGGGTAGTCATCACAGGCTGATGGATGGTGTCTGGGGCCATCGATGATGAGATAGACCAAAAATGAAATGGGAAAAGTCAAGAAAGAATCCGTCTGTAATGAGTTAGGCAGAGAAGGATGAGGCAGTGAACAAGACCAAGTGCTCAGAAAGGATGGAAGGAATTCAGGAGGATTCCAAGAGTAAAACATGAACCCCCAAAAGTAAACACTGTGTGTAATGAGAAAAAAACATATATATATATATATATATAGCAAAAGGACAAAAAAAAAAAGACAATAAAAGGTAGGTATGATGGGATTCATATCAAAGTTTCATCCTTTCACCTGGAAATATTTTCATGGGGTGCAATTACTTATGTCCATCCTCCTGGACTTTGATATAAGGTCAACTATATAATGTATACGAACGAAGTGAGTTTTTTTTTTAACTTAAAAATACTGGAAAAACTCTATTAGTGTTTATTATTCATTGTTGAGTAACCATAAAACACTGGTTAGTTACCGCACACTGTGCTAAAACTGCTATGTAAAGTCGAGACAACTTGAGCGTGGGATTCCTTCAACGTGGGATTGTTGGGTGATGGGGATGCGTGTGACCACGTGAAAATCACACCAGTCTTTGACTCCTTGACTTACGGAGTGTTTGTTTGCTTACTTGTTTCAGGGATTCTGAAGTGTAAGAAGGACAAAGCCTATGAAGGCGGCCAGTTGTGCGCCATGTGCGCCGGTCCCAAGAAGCTGTACAAACAAGAGATTCACAAGCTGAAGGACGTTGCTTGTTTGAAGCCTTCCATAGAGTCCCCCCTGAGACAGAACAGCAGCAGAGATACAGAGGAAGAGCAGGAACAAGAGGAGGACAGTGACAGCCAGCTGGTCTTGGAGGGCTTCCAGCTCCCCCCGTGGAACATCTCCTTGAACATGACCGATGAACATGGGAACATGGTGAACTTGGTCTGTGACATCAAGAAGCCCATGGATGTGTACAAAATTCACTTGAACCAAACGGATCCTCCAGAGATTGACATAAATGCAACGGTCGCCTTGGAGTTTGAGTGTCCGATGACACGGGAAAACTACGAAAAATTATGGAAATTGATAGCGTATTATAGTGAGGTCCCCGTGAAGCTCCACCGGGAACTCATGCTGAGCAAAGACCCCAGAGTCAGCTACCAGTACAGGCAAGACGCTGACGATGATGCTCTTTACTACACGGGCGTCAGAGCCCAGGTTCTCACAGAACCAGAATGGGTCATGCAGCCGTCCATAGAAATCCAACTGAACCGACGTCAAAGTACAGCCAAAAAGGTTCTGCTCTCCTACTACGCGCAGCATTCTCAAACCATGTCCACCAAAGACATGACGCAGGCTCAGAGCAAAAGCTGGGTAATGATTGAGCCAAGTGGGGCTGTGCAAAGAGCTCAGACGGTCCTGGAAGGGGGGTCGTGCCAGCTGAGCTGCAATGTGAAAGCTTCTGAGAGTCCGTCTATCTTCTGGGTGCTTCCAGATGGCTCCGTCCTGAAAGCACCAATGGACGATCAGGACAGCAAGTTCTCCATCCTCAGCAGTGGTTGGCTGAGGATAAAATCAGTGGATCAGTCTGACTCTGGTTTGTATCACTGCATTGCTCAGGTAAGAGATGAAATGGACCGGATCGCATATAGGGTGCTTGTGCAACCTCCCACCTCTCAGCCCCCTGAGAGAGACATGGTGACAATTGCCAAGAACCCAGGGGAGCCAGTGATGTTGCCTTGCAGTACCTTGGCAATACCTGAAGCACACCTTAGCTGGATTCTTCCGAACAGAAGGATAATTCATGACTTGGCTAACACGTCACACGCGTACATGTTGGCAAATGGAACTCTTTCCATCCCAAAGGTCCAAGGCAGCGATGGTGGTTACTACAGATGTGTGGCCGTCAACCAGCAAGGGGCAGACCATTTTACTGTGGAGGTCACCGTGAGGAAGAAAGGATCTGGAAGGTCATCCAAGAAAGGTAGACGTCCAGACTCAAAAGCTCCTTCCAGAGTGAGAGAAGATGTCGTGGAGGATGAAGGGGCCTCAGGCATGGGAGACGAAGATGATGCTTCCAGGAGAATTCCACAACCAAAGGACCAAGAAGTGTTCCTCAAAACAAAGGATGATGCCAACATGGGAGACAAGAAAGCCAAGAAAGGAAGAAGAAAACTGAAACCCTGGAAGCATCCTGAGAAAGACCCAGAGACCAACATCGCAGAGGGTCGCAGAGTGTTCGAGTCCAGACGAAGGATAAACATGGCGAACAAACAGATTAATCCTGAGCGTTGGGCAGATATTCTAGCCAGAGTCCGTGGGAAAAATCTCCCTAAGGGCACGGAAGTACCCCAGGTCGTTAAAACCACTACTCCTCCATCCATAAGTCTAGAAGCAACACCTCCTTCCCCAGCTGTTTCTCCCCCTTCCTCATCTCCCGTGCAGACAGCAACCAATGCCAAAGAATCCTCAGCAGATATGTCTCTATTTGGTGAGGAAGAGCAGGTGTTGAGTACCGTTTCCTCACGCAGGAAGGCACTGGAGCACGACAGCAATGGAGCGATTCTTGCTGACTCCGAAGTAACAAGCACACCATTGGAAGAAGTTATTGACGACGCATTTTCTGAGAACGTTGAGGAGATATCTCCCACTGAAGTTGACATGAAGTGGGTTACAGACCCTACACTGATATCTGATCCTTATGAATCCTCTTCTGCTCTATACACCCTGGACACAGTCTACGGAGAGCCTGCCCACGAAGAGACAGCAACAGGGAGTTGGACAACAGCAGATGTTGGGTCCATGCCAGAGCCCACGTTGAATGAGTATGAGCCTCCGCTGAATGTTATCTCCTTGGCCGAGTCTGAGACTATGCAATACTTTTACCCAGACTTGGAGACTAATTCGCAACCAGATGAGGACAAGATGAGAGAACCGACCTCTGCACACTTTACGCCAACCCCCGTTGTGTGGGTTACTGACCTCAGTACATTGGAGTCATTTGAAGATTCTGCTTTAGGAGAACGAGAGGTCCCAGGCCAATCACATCTACAAGGACTCACAGACAACATCCAACTTGTGAAAAGTGGTTTAAGCACTCAAGGCACCCCACTGATTAAAAAGGATATAGAGGAAAAGTCTCAGGCACCACAGGAAGGAGATATGCTAGAGAGAGACCCCACAAACTCCAGAAGTTCTGAGGGTGAGGGGCAAGACATCAAATCCATCACTCTGCTGGATTCCACAGTGGGAGTGAAGAGCAGCATCCCTCCTTTCAATCAGCCTGGGGAAACCACACTTGGCACCGTCTTGGATAGAGATACCACCACAGCAGCAATGATGACACCAAGACAAAATGCCACTGCACCGGCGGCAATGCCCACTCACCCTTCTCAAAGAAGACCCAATGGGAGGAGGAGATTGCGCCCCCACAAACCTCGCCACCGGCATAAGCAAACCCCACCGACAACTTTTGCCCCAACAGAGACTTTTTCTACTCAACCAACTCAAGGACCTGATATTAAGATTCCAAACCAAGTGCAGAGTTCTCTGGTTCCTACATCTTGGGTTGATAACCCAGCTAGTATCCCAAAACAGTTGGAAATGGAGAAGAACACAGAAGCCGTATCCAAGGGAACTCCACAAAGGAAACACAGGAAGAGGCCGAACAAACATCACTATACCACTTCTACGGTGAGCTCGAGAGCATCTACATCCAAGCCTAGCCCTTCTCCAGAAAATAAATACAAAAATGTTATTACTCCCACTTCAGAAACTATATCTTTGTCCAGAACTGTTCCTCTGAGAACTGGAGACTCGTATGAGGTAACTGGAGTGGAAGATTACATGACAACCACCACAAAAATACATTCATCTCACCATAACGTCCAAGAGACACTTCCAGTCACGTCTAAACCTGTATCGGATGGAAAAGAAATTAAGGGTGATGATGTCACAGACATCAAAGATTATAAAACTGACACTTTAGTCCCCGGTGAGTCAATCATTAATGTCATACCAACTTATGGCTGGTTGGTCTCCACTGTGGGAGAAGTCTCCACTGAGGAAGACTCCCGTCCTGTAGGGTTTCCAGGAACTCTAAGCTGGAATCCCCCAACGACAGCCCAGACTGGGCAGCTGGAGAAAGACACTCCTGTTACCAGTTTTGGAGAAAACCGTACAGATCTTCCCCTTTTGAAAGAGCTAGAGGATGTGGATTTGATTTCTGTGTCTTCACCTTCTATTACAGTCTCAACACCATCTCAACAAGAAGAAGTTGGTGCTTCGACTACTCTCACAAGCATGAAAGTAGAGTTGTCTTCAAGTCAGGCAGAAACCACCACCCGTGGGCAGGAACATCATGAAACCACTGTGGCTATCATTCACCCTGAAACCAGGTCACAGAATCACATCCCTACTCCTGCTCCCAGGGAGAAGCCAACCTCCCTGTTCCTACCCACGACTCTTGTGTCTTGGGCACAAACCACCACTAAGCCAGCACTTATTACCTCGAGAACATCTCCAACATCTACAGATTCCAAGGAAAATGTTGTCTTGAATTATGTGGGGAATCCAGAAACCAAAGCACCCCCAGTGAACAATGAAGGGACACAGCCTATACCGAGGCCAAACGAATTATCTACCACTTCTTCTAACCAGGACACATCTGACTTGTCTCCAAAGCAAGAGCTGGGAAAGGAAGTATTTGACAGTAGGAGCAACAACAGTCTCCCACGAAGCCCAGAGAGGCACCCCCAGGATGGGGGAGCCCACGTCTCTTACCAACCATCCAGAGTCCCTGCCAAACCTATCCCACCACAGGGAACAGTTCGGCCACCTGATACGGCCACACAAAGCTCCTCTAGAGATTTCGTAACATTACAGCCTTCCCGTCATTTGACCAACAAACCGCAAATAACTATGTCTCCTTCAAGGGCTTTGCCAGGGAGCAAACTCTTTTCCACTCCAAAATTATCAACGACAACAACTCCTGTTCCATTACACGTGTCCAAACCCAACATTTTTACCAAATCGGCAGACCAAAGAACTGACCGATTCAATGGCTACTCCAAGGTGTTTGGACATAATAACCTTCCTGAGCCAAGAAACCCAGTTGGCAGGCTTCCGAGTTCAAGAGTTCCTCATTACCCCAGTGGAAGACTTCCTTTCTTTATCAACAGGACACTCTCTTTCCCGCAGCTGGGAGTCACCGTGAAGCCCCCGGCATCCACCTCTCCTGCCCCAGTGACGAGGGAGAGGATAGTTAACCTGGGTCCGTACAATAGGATACATTCCCACAGCACCTTCCACGTGGACTTTGGTCCTCCAGCTCCTCCACTGCTGCACCCTCCCCGGACCATGGCATCACCCTCAACTAACTTACAGAATACCCCCCTGGTTTCTCCCACCCGGAGCTCCATCCCCTTTGTGACATCTTCTGTCCAGTCCTCTGGAAGCTTCCATCAGAGTAGCTCAAAGATCTTTGCTGGAGGACCACCTGCATCCAAATTCTGGACACCCGGAGAAAAGCCCCAGATTATCACCAAATCCCCACAGACTGTGTCTGTCACTGCCGAGACGGACGCTGCGTTCCCGTGTGAGGCGACAGGGAAGCCCAAGCCTTTCGTTACGTGGACCAAGGTTTCCACAGGTAGGGTGTTTACGCATCTACATCTTACGCAGAGTTTACGTAGGAGGAGGTGACCGGAATCTGACTCCAGGCAGAACTGGAGACTCAGAAAATAATGGATTGGTAGAGCAAAGCTGTATTTTCTTTGCTTAGGTTTATCTCTTGAATTTTGAGGGCTTCGACAGATAAATTTGGGGAGGAGACATCTGAGAACTTAGATTCAAGCATGTTCCTGTATATTCTTCCAGGGAGAGAAAGTGAGAAATTAGAATGGAGATGAGATTTTAATGAAGCCATGGAAACATCTAATAGGTCCTGTGGATAGGGAATAACTTAGGCTTTCAGATATTGCATAATGGGACCCTCTCACTTTTCCTCAATTGGGTCCAGTACAAAAGTCTTCGACAATCCATGTTGGTGCAGAATAGATATGAGGGGAAGTCTGCAAATCCCACCTGCCCTTCTACTGGCTTGCAAAGCTAAACCCAGCTTGGTCAGAGATCAGCTTCTGTTATTCTAAGCACTAATCAGCTGCTTCCTCGAGTTGAACCTAGAGAGGTGGGTGTGTGAGTCAGCTTGGGCTGCCATAACAGAGTCCCACAGACCAGGCAGCTTAAACACAGACATTTATTCTCTCACATCCTGGAGGCTGGAAGTCCCACTTCAAGGTGTCTCAGGGCTGGTTCCCCCTGAGGCCTCTCTCCTTAGTGTGTCATCCCTGTGTCCTCATGTGGTCGTCCCTCTGTGCGTGTCTGTGTCCTCATCTCCTCTTCTTAAAGGACACCAGTCCTGTTGGATCAGGGCCCACCCTAGTGACCTCATTTTACCTTGATTATCAATTTTAAAATACTATCTCCAAATGCACTCATGTTCTGAGGTCCTGGGGGCGTGAGGGCTTCAAAAGATAAATTTTGGGAGGACACAGTGGTCTATACTTGGAAACTTAGGGTGCCCCAAGGGCATTCTTCTTCACAAATTGACCGTCTACTTTGTCTGAATGACAAAACAATTTTTAGGGAATATTAATAGAAGAAAATCAAAGCTGAGAGTCACATCCTCCATGAAAAACCATCCCTCTCTTCTCTCTCAACACAATTAGATCCTTCATCCCTGGCTTCTGACCAGAGGTGTGTGTGTGTGTGTGTGTGTGTGTGTGTGTGTGTGTGTGTGTTGTTTCTATTTGGACAATACAAAAATGATTTTGCAGTTAGCACTTAAAAAACCTGTACTTTATTTGCTCAGGTTTGTCTCCCCAATTTTGGAAGGGTTCTAGAGGCTCCCAGAGGCTCTGAGCCTTGGGAAGTTATTTACTCCTCTGTTCAGTTCAGCATTTGAAGTCGTATATTTTTGTAACGATTTCATAATGACTTTTGCTTGAAGTTGCAAACAGAGGACAACATGGCTTTTTTGTTCCAAAAATGTGATGCCTTTGAAGGAACCCACTCCTCTACTGGGAGACCCCATTTGTGTTAATTCTTAGGGTCTTCCATGCCAGGGCCAGGTCAGAGCACGTTTGGATCATGCCTTCTCTCCAGATGTTCATGCACATTTTTCATCTGCATCCCCTGGAATTCGCTCTGAATGCTGGCTGCTCTTCTGCTAGCTAGCTCTGGGTTTTAGGAAGTTCTATCTCAATGGGTGGCAAAATGAGATTTGCTGACTCCACAGAGCATTGTATTCTAAGGCCGTGGAGCTATAGGATGTGATTTTATCCTGCCTTTGCTGCCAGATAAACCACATTAGTTCATTTGTTGAGGCATCAGAAGGAAACACAAGGCCACCATGTGACTGCCCCGGAATGATGGGCAGGAGGCTACCATGATCCTTCTCTTCCATCCCACACCAAATGGAATGGACGAGCACTCTGTATCTCTGCATCATAAAATGCCTTGATGAGGATCTGAAACTCCGTGAGTGAGGACCATTATTTGGGAGTCCCCTGTCATTTGGGAGGGCTCAAGCCCCAAGCTGGATGGCTTCTTACCTGCACTGCCTGGAAGGCAGGGAGGTTATACCAGCATCAACCAAGACCTGCTCCCTGGGATGTGGCGAGTTAGGCAAACTCACTTGGCCTCCAGACCTGGTTTTGGAGGAGACAGCTGTGTTCTTGGCACCTCCTATAAACATGCTGTGTAGTGGCCTTGTTTCCATGAGTGCTCTATACTGGAATAACCCATCCACCACGAAAGCCTCACCTTGGGGAGAGCAGGTGATTTCAGAGGTGGATGAACAACAGATACCTTGGCAGAGAGTATGAGGATGAGGACGATGGAGAACTTCCAGGGCTTGAAGCCTTCATCCAAAGGCAGCACTCCCATCTTAAAGAAAGGTGTTAACAAAAGAGTCAGAACTAAAGGCATAGTCCACGGGTGAAGCCCGGACCTGGGAAGGGGCCAGCAACATGGAAGAAGAAGGGGGCTCTCTTGGGCTTCCCAGTGTTAGAATGTAGGTTTTATTATATTCCAGTGTGGTGAGGCCAACAGATCAGAAGGTGATGGCCATGGAGAGGATACTTTGCTGTTCACAGTTTCCAAGGGGAGGGTGCAAGCCACACCATGCACGTCATCCTGGGAAGCACCAGAGTTGTTTAGGAGGCAAAGAGACAGGGAAAAATTTGAGCAAGTGCCCTTTTTTGTGTGCTTTCTGTGGGAAGAAACAGTTGATGCTTAGAATGGGGTAGTTTGAGAGATTTCAGCAGGCTTTAGAGGGTCTGGGGATGTCCCTAGCTGTCTGCTACCTGACCCTGGGGTAATTAAGGCAGGTGGATAAAGACCCAGAGTGTGACAGCCCGATAATTGAGGTGGTTGGGGTGTGGTCTCTGGACTGCTAGGTTTGCATATACAAAGCAAGCTCATGGGGAGGGTCTTTTGCTGTCTCTAGGAATTGGCTAGCTCTGGGAGGGGTGGACCCTCCTGGGTCAGCAAAAGGTCCAGATACCAGAGCATCAAAAACGCATAGTTGAGTTTCCATTCTTTACATACCTCACTTAGGAGAAGGGGCTCCAGTTCCATTCAAATTGTTGCAAAAGGCATTAATTCATCCTTCTTTATGGCTGAGTAGTACTCCCTGGTGTACATACACCACATTTTGCAAATCCACTCATGAATTGATGGACACGTGGGTTGATTCCACATCTTTGCAGTTGTGAATTGTGCTGCAATAAACATTCAAATGCAGGTGACTTTTTTTTCTTTTTTTTTTTTTTATTTAAGCATATTATGGGGGTACAGATGTTTAGGTTACGTATGTTGCCCTTGGCCCCCCTCCAAGTCTGAATTTCAAATATGCAGGTGACTTTTTGATAAAATGACTGGTTCCCCTTAACATTTCGAGATTTAAAAAAAAAAAAGAGAAGAAACACATGGTTGGTACAGACCTTGACGAGGGCAGACAGCAGGTCAGACAGGGTGTGACATATGGATAACACAGAGTGGAGAGAAATGAGAACATATCTCACTCACGTCTGCCCTCTGGCTAGAGTGGTGAGGAGGTCAGACGTCATCGGGAAGCCTGAGTCCGTGCTCAACTCTATGGGACTGGGCAGAGAGTGACGGCATCCTAGTTTCTCTCTTGTGACTCAGGGGCCTCTCTGGGCAGTGGTGGACACCTGCTGCAAGCCTAGGTGTCCAAGCAGGCAACCAGGAGTTCAGGAGACCAGTGTCAACATAAACGAGCAAGGGGCTGTGTCTCCAGTACCTGAAATGAAGAGTCAGACTACCCCGGGTGTGCTTGCGTCTCACAACCACTTCTAGAATTCTCCATGAAGCCCATGTTTGCTATTCTTTGCTGGAAGAAGGTCTGCGTGCCCTGTTTCCGAGACTCGTGTAAAAAATGAACAAAAAGGGAAACAAAACATTCTTCCTCTCTCTTTTTTCTACAAAAAAAAAAAATCCTTTTTTTTTTTTTGTAGCGAGAACACGTAAAATTTACTCTCCTACCAATTTTCAAGTACACAATATATTACTACTAACTATAGTCACCATGAATACAATAGTATAGTCACCATGAATACAATAGATCCCTTGAATTTATTCCTGTGTCTACCTGAACTTTGTAGGCTTTGATCGATGTCTCCCTTTCCCCCCAAAACCCCCGGCCCCGGGTAATCACATTCTACTCTCTGCTTCTACGAGTTCAACCTTCTTACGTCCCACACAGAAGCGGGATCATGTGGTATTTCCCTTTCCGTGCCTGGCTTATTTCACTTAACATAATGTCTCCTAGGTTCATCCGCTTTGTCACAAAAGGCAGAATTCTCTTCTAAGACAGAATAGTATTCCATTGTGTAGACAAACCGCATTTCCTTTATGCATTCGTCCTTGGATGGACACTTAAGTTGATTCCACGTCTTGGCCACGGTGAATAGTGCCGCAATGAACATGTGTGTTGTAGACGTCTCCCCAACATACTGATCTCAGTCTCTTTGGATATATACCCAGAAGCGGGATTGTTGATTTGTACGGTAGTTCTATTTTTAATTTTTTGAGGATCCCACATACTGTTTTCCATAATGGCTGTACTGATTTGCTCTCTCCAATTTGGTCTTCTCTGTACTGTTCATCGTAACGGGCGTGACGTGGTATCTCACGGTGGTTTTCCATTTCCTCAGGGAGTGTCAACAAAAACCTTCTCTCTCGCACATCTGCTTTCACCGTCTGGGCCACACGTAGGAGAATTAGGTTAATGAGCGAACAATGCTTTTTTGGCAATTATGGAAAGGACACGGTTTATGTCAAAGCTAATGGTCCCTGTCATTCTACTGCAGGAGCCCTGATGACTCCCAACACCAGGGCACAACGGTTCGAAGTCCTCAAGAACGGCACCTTAGTCATCCGCAAGACGCAGGTGCAAGACCGCGGCCAGTACCTGTGCACGGCCAGCAACCTGCACGGGCTGGACCGCATGGTGGTCCTGCTGTCGGTGACGGTGCAGCAGCCCCAAATCCTAGCTTCGCACTATCAGGACGTCACCGTCCACCTGGGAGACACCATCGCCATGGAGTGCCTGGCCAAGGGGACCCCGGTGCCCCAAATCTCCTGGATCTTCCCTGACAGGAGGGTGTGGCAGACCGTGTCCCCCGTGGAGGGCCGCGTCACGCTGCACGAAAACCGGACCCTGTCGATCAAGGACGCGTCCTTCTCAGACAGAGGCGTGTATAAGTGTGTGGCCAGCAACGCAGCCGGCGCGGACAGCCTGGCCATCCGCCTGCACGTGGCGGCGCTGCCCCCGGTCATCCACCAGGAGAAGGCGGAGAACATCTCGCTGCCGCCGGGGCTGAGCATCCACATCCACTGCACCGCCAAGGCCGCGCCCCTGCCGAGCGTGCGCTGGGTGCTCTGGGACGGGACCCACATCCGCCCCTCGCAGTTCCTGCGCGGGAACCTGTTCGTCTTCCCCAACGGCACGCTCTACATCCGCAACCTGGCGCCCAAGGACAGCGGGCGCTACGAGTGCGTGGCCGCCAACCTGGTGGGCTCCGCGCGCCGGACTGTGCAGCTGACCGTGCAGCGCGCGGCCGCCAACGCGCGCATCACCGGCACCTCCCCGCGCAGCACCGACGTCAGGTACGGGGGCACCCTGAGGCTGGACTGCAGCGCCTCGGGCGACCCCTGGCCGCGCATCCAGTGGAGGCTGCCCTCCAAACGGATGGTGGACGCGCTCTTTAGGTAAATCGCGGGGACCCTGCTCTCCCCTTGCACGTTGGGGACACTCTTGGTGGCCCAAAAGGACATGAGTCCTGGTCAGGATGAACATGCACAGATACTGCTCCCCGTGCGTGCTTTTTCACGCAGTGAAATCTTGTCTTTATGCATTCTTTTATTTATTTAAGAGATAGGGTTTCTCTCTCTCTGTCACCTGGGCTGGAGTGCAGTGGTGCCATCATAGCTCACTGCAGCCTGGAACTCCTGGGCTCAAGTGATCCTCCTGCCTCAGCCTCCTGAGTAGATGGGACTACAGGTGCACAACACCACACCTGAAAAAAAAAAAAAAAATATATATATATAGTTGTTGTAGAGAAGGGGTCTGGCTATGTTGCCCAGGCTGGTTTCAGACTCCTGATCTGGAGCAATCCTCCCGCTTCAGCCTCCCCAGTAGCTGGGACTACAAGTGCATGCCACCACACCTGGCTAATTTTTTTTTTTTTTAGAGACAGGGTCTCGCTATGTTGCCCAAGCTGGTTTCAAACTCCTGACCTCAAGCGATCCTCCCGCCTCAGTTTCCTCCTGTCTCAGTTTCCCAAAATGCTGGGATTACAGGTGTGAGCCACCATGCCCAGCCATTGTCTTTATAAAATAGGATCCAGAACAAACACTTGACCCCCCTCTTATCCCTTCTTGCCTGCCCAGAATCAAAAAAAGGAACCAAGGAACTGTTGCTTTAATAATCACGTTTCACTGCATTTTAAAACATAATATTACATAAAACAATTTAGGTTGCTTTTATTTCCTTTATTAATTTCAATGAAATACATAGATGTTTTAGGCCTTATTTTAATGTGGCATTAACGATACAATGAAAGTATGTAAAAACATAACAAAAATAAAGATATTTTAAAGATATCATTACAGCTCCAGGATAGCATACTTGGAATTATAAAAATGTATTTTGGGCCAGGCTCAGGGGCTCCAGATTGTAATGCCAGCACTTTGAGAGGCTGAGGTGGGAGGATTGCTTGAGGCCAGGAGTGGGAGAACAGCCTAAGCAACAGAGTGAGACCCCATCTCTACGAAACATTAAGAAAAAATAGCCGGGCATGGTGGTTAAAGCCTGTAGTCCTAGCACTTTGGGAGGCCAAGGCGTGAGGATCGCTTGAGGACAGGAGTTCGAGACCAGACTGGGCAACATAGCAAGACCCCATCTCTCTATGTAAAGCACACCTGTAGTCCCAGCTACTTGGGAGCTGAGGCAGGAGAATCACTTGAACCCTAGAGTTCAAGGCTACAGAGAGCTATGATTGCACCACTACTCTCCAGCCTGGGCAACAGACCCACAGCGCATCTCAAAATTAAAAAAAAAAAATGTATTTTGGGACAAAGAAAGCCACTGTCTAATCACATACCATCTGTTCCCCAGTATATAGGTTTATGGCAGTGTTTCTGAACTGGGGGTGTTTTGCCTCCAGGGACCCCTTGGCAATGTCTGGAGACATTTCTGGTTGTCACACCTGGAGTAATTCCTACTGATGTCTGGTGGGTAGAGACCAGAGAGGTTGCTCAACACCCTACAGTGCACAGGACGGCCCCACCTCGGAGAATCCTCGGCCCCAAATGTCAGGAGTGCTGAGGTTTTAAAACCCTGGACTAGAACCAAAAAGGATTATGTCTCCTTAAGAAGTGTTTCAAAAATAATAGCGGACAAAGATAATAGAGGAAAAGGAAAATGGGCTCAAGTGGTGTTTTCAAGCAGGAAAACATCTCCATGCGGGGCGGGTTCCACCCCAGGACGGGAGCACAGTCAGTGCTCACGGGTTTGTTCTGTGCAGCTGCTTCTGGGCTTCCGGGGCCCTTCCCGATGTTGGAAAAGGGCGAAGGTGTTTTTCCCCCAGCTTCTATCTTATTTTATCATTATTATTATCATTTGCTTTGCTAGAAGTGCAAAGATTTATTCATTCAATTTATACGTAACATTTATGGAAAACCTGCTTCACGTCAGACACATAGTAGGTGCTCAGATATAGCAGTGAACCCAGCAGATGGAGATTCCCGCCCTGCTAGGGTTCATGTGCTAGCCGCCACAGCGCTGCTTTTATAGATTAATTGAATTGTATAAATGATACAAATGCAGAAGAGAATTATCTGCATCATTATTTCATGGGTCTCAAAATCATAAAACCTTGTGGCAACTTAGTCGCATTTAGTGCAGGATAGGGTGTAGGCTACCCTACACAAAACCAAGTGGGAAATGAAGAAAATCTCTCCAGATATATGTACACTTTAGGTCCCAATAGTGGAACTCATTATTTAAACAAAATAGAAAATATTTAATGATGGATTTTTGCCAAAGAAAGAGGGTGTCGTGGTCAAAAAAGGAGGAGGGGGTTCTATGTCAGCATTTCCTCTCTCTGCCCGTCAGTTTTCAGTGAGCTTTGGATATAAGTCCCCTTTATTTAAGCTTAACGCTTTGGCCTCTCATTTCATTTATTTATTTTTTTCCAAATTCTTTTTTATTGTATGATTACTATTTTTTTTCAATTTCAGAATTTTACAGGGGTATACCCATTTTGGTTACATAATTTGCTTTTGAATCAGCCCAAGTGCCCAGCTTCTATTTTAAATTTTAGATGTCTCTAGGCGGTGCCCAGAAAGAGCTTGCACACTCTGTAGGGAGTACCGTGTACCCGGTCCACCCGGGAGCGTCTTCCCGCCCCGAGGACGCGCTGCCGCCCGCGTGGCTGTTTTCCGTTGGGTTTGGCGCGGCTGAGCCGGTGCTGAATGGGTAACAGCACGAGAATGTCGCTGCGGGAGGGTTTTGAGTGATTCTAATAACGTCCCCATAGAAACCCTAAATCCATCATAAATCACCATCTCTGGGGCTTCATTCTTACTATATAGATTCCGACTAATTACATTCTTAGCGTGGTGTCGTTAAACAACCCGTGTTGGTTTTATCAACAAGCAAGCCCTTTGCTCCGCTACACACCAGGACGATTTAAAAATACAGATGATTGGCACTTCTCTTCTGAAAGCCAAGTGCTTCAGGAGGTGTGTTTTTCAGATGTGTCCAGTTTACTCTGATTATAACTAGGGCTAGACATCAGGGCTGTAGACAGCTCAGAATGTTCGCAGACACGCTATCGCAGGAATTTTTGGATTCGAACTCCAAGGCACATTAAAATGTCCTCGCCAGCCTCACACCTCTCATATTCCTTACCATGTTACCTTGACTTGGTTTTCACTCCTGGCCCACACGACAGTTTATTTGGTCACCGTTAGTATAATAATTGCTTTTAATTATGGTGATCGGGCTGCATCCAAGTGTAGGCAGGCGTTTCCTTTTTAAAGATCTATAATGCTGTCCCAGACATGCCATTAGAGTGATGCGGTATTCAGGAAACACTAAGGGGTTCAAACTCAATTACACCCTCTCCCATTATAATGTCAGTGAAATTGAAAATTCACTGTGGACACTTTAAAAATGAGAACCTCTCCGATCTTTTCACTGGGTCTTTCAAAACGTGAGCTCTGAGTGGCAAAATATTTATAAAAATATCATGTCCATAATGAATCGATAATCTTATACAAATTCTAAATAAACCCTAAATCATCATTTCCGGGGCTTCATTCTTACTAAATTCCAATTATATGACTGGTGTAGTGTAATTAAACAACCCATGTAAGTTTTTTTTTTTTTTTTAATCTATCAAGCCTTCAATGTTGTCTCTTTTAAACTGAAAACCTTTCATGAATATTAGCTCAGAGGTGTTTGGACTTCTTGAGAGGAATGTCACGACACCCTCGGGGTTTTGGTTTCTGAGTGTCATTCAGCTTTAATTACAAATCCTAGAGAAGCAGGCATTACACCAATATCGTCCAGTGCTGACGAATCCAGTTTTACTAGATCGCTGTGGAATACTGGGCGGCACCGCAATGACACGATCAATGTCAAAGCTACTTTTTTGCCCCTGGCTTGTTAGTGGGCTACAACGTCTTTAAAAAAAAAATAAGTTGCCGAGAGCAGAAGTAGTGTCTAAAGCGTTTTCTTCCAGAAAGCACCTAACCTTTTTATAAGGCTGATTTGGATTCATTTCCTCCAGCACGGTAGTGTTCCATCTGATTTTGTGGTGACAACACTCTCTGCAATGACCAGGGGACAAATACTGGACACACACACACACGCACACGCACACCCGTGCGCAAACACGCTGCAGTCTCTGCCTACTTCTCACATCTTTGAATCCATGGCCAGCCCAGCTGGTCAGACCCTACCAGGAAGTTCTCATTAGCAGGAAATCACTTTCCAGTGTGTGCTCAATCTTGTTCCGGCTGTAAACGCCCTTGGGCATTTTTTGGGGCAGCAGCGGGCTGAGCTGATACTTCACAGCCACCTGTTGTTGTTTCGTCCCGGCGACCTCCAGCCAGCCTGGAGCACCTGGCACACTGACACCTCCTTCCTTTTCCTTTCTCTCCCTCAGCTTTGATGCCCGAGTCAGGGCGTTCGCCAACGGGACCCTGGTGGTGAAGTCGGTGACCGACAAAGACGCCGGCGAGTACCTGTGCGTGGCCCGGAACAAGGTGGGCGACGACTACGTAGCCCTCAAGGTCAACGTGGTGATGAGAGCGGCCAAGATCGAGCATAAAGAGGAGAACGACCACCGGGTCTTCTACGGGGGTGACCTGAAAGTGGACTGCGTCGCCACCGGGCTCCCCAACCCCGACATCTCCTGGGGCCTCCCCGACGGCAGCCTGGTCAACTCCTTCGTGCAGTCGGATGACAGCGGGGGACGCACCAAACGCTACGTCGTCTTCAACAACGGGACGCTCTACTTCAACGAGGTGGGGATGAGAGAGGCAGGGGACTACACCTGCTTCGCCGAAAACCAGGTCGGGAAGGACGAGATGAGAGTGCGGGTCAAGGTGGTGGCTGAGCCCGCCGCCATCCGGAACAAGACGTACCTGGTGGTCCAGGTGCCCTACGGAGACGTGGTCGCCGTCCCGTGTGCCGCCAAAGGAGAGCCCGTGCCTAAGGTGACCTGGCTGTCCCCGACCAACAGGCTCATCCCCGTGTACTCGGAGAAGTACCAGATACACCAGGACGGCACTCTCCTGATCCAGAAAGCCCAGCGCTCCGACAGCGGGAACTACACCTGCCTGGTCAGGAACAGTGCCGGCGAGGACAGGAAGACCGTGTGGATCCACGTCAACGTCCAGCCGCCCAGGATCAACGGCAACTCGGACACCATCACCACCGTGCGGGAGATCGTGGCGGCGGGCAGTCGGAAGCTCGTCGACTGCAAGGCGGAAGGCATCCCCGCCCCGAGGGTCCTGTGGGCTTTTCCGGAAGGCGTGATCCTGCCGGCCCCCTACCACGGAAACCGCGTCAGTGTGCACCGCAACGGCACGCTGGACATCCGGCAGCTGAGGAAGAGCGACTCGGTGCAGCTGGTGTGCATCGCACGCAACGAGGGCGGCGAGGCCCGGCTGGTCGTGCAGCTCACCGTCTTGGAGCCCATGCAGAAGCCCGTCTTCCACGACCCCACCAGCGAGAAGATCACGGCCGCGGCCGGCCACACCATCAGCCTCAACTGCTCGGCCGCGGGGACCCCGACGCCCACCCTGCTGTGGGTGCTCCCCAACGGCACGGAGCTGCAGAGCGGCCGACGGCTGCAGCGCTTTTTCCACAAGGGCGACGGCATGCTGCACATCAGCGGCCTGTCCTCGGTGGACGCCGGCGCTTACCGCTGCGTGGCCAGGAACGCCGCGGGCCACACGGAGAGGCTGGTGTCTCTGAAGGTGGGGCTGAAACCGCAGGTGAGCAGCCAGCACCGCAATCTGGTGAGCATCATCAACGGAGAGACCCTGCAGCTGCACTGCGTGCCCCCGGGGGACGGCCGGCAGGGACGTGTCTCCTGGACGCTTCCCAGCGGCGTGGTCTTGGAGGGCCCCCACGCCCTCGGACGCTTCTCCCTCTGGGACAACGGCACCCTCACGGTGCGCGAGGCCTCGGTGTTCGACAGGGGCACCTACTCGTGCAGGATGGAGACCGAGTACGGCCCCTCGGTCACGAGCATCTCGGTGATTGTCATCGCCTATCCGCCCCGCATCACCAGCGAGCCCACGCCGGTCATCTACACGCGCCCCGGGAACACCATCAAGATCAACTGCATGGCCATGGGCGTCCCCAAAGCCGAGATCACCTGGGAGCTGCCGGACAAGTCACACCTGACGGCCGGAACGCAGGCTCGTCTCTACGGCCACCGATTTCTGCACCCGCAGGGAGCGCTGACCATCCAGCACGCCGCGCAGAGGGACGCCGGCTTCTACAAGTGCACGGCGAAAAACGTTTTGGGGAGTGACTCGAAAACGACTTACATCCACGTGTTCTGAGCGGCCTGCGGTGCGACGCAGAGAGCGGAGCTCTTTACTGCGTGGTCTGCAAGGGAGGCCGGGCTGGGCGGCCGCAGCTCCCGGAGCGTTTGTCTCGGGGCAGGGCGGCCTCCCCGGCGGGTTTCAGACGGAGGTTAGCCTTCACGGAGGCTTGTTGGGAAAAGGAATTTGAGCAGACACAGGCAGGAGGGCTCGGCCTCTCTGGGAACTTTGTTTTCTGTTTACAGCACGCCATGGGCTTCAGGGTACCTGGTCTGCGACTGCAATCTCTACCCCGCTGCCTTCCCGGGCGCCTGTAGGATACCTGCGTGGGAGACGCACGCCCTAGTTAACGCGCTGCAGTTTTAACACCATAGATCCTGCCAGAACGAGAACTCGTCACCTTTCAGTTATTTCCTCTTGTCACTTCGAAACTCCAGCTTGCCCAAGTAAGGGTTTAGAACCAGACTGACCGATGTTGTTTTTTAATCCGCACTTTCATACGTTACGGCTACCATTTTATAACAAAGAAAGAAAAAAAAAAAAACCTCTTTCTCCCTGGAACTCACTTTTTATATGGTGTTTTATATAAATATATATATTTTTTTCTTTCTGATCAGACGATGAGATTCGAAAGAGAAATTCTTTCTGTCTCATTAAAAAGAATAAATTATTGGTCTTTACAAGACTTGGATACATTACAGCAGACATGGAAATGCAATTTAAAAATAAGTAAATTCTTTCCAAACCTCATTCAAATTCAGTGACCACTGTTCCATTACGCTCCCCCCAGGGAGGCTAGGATGTCAGATGGCCTTGAAAACAAAGTTTATCTTGAACGCCATTGCAACGGGGGGATGAGGGGAAGGAGAAAGCTACACCACGACCCCACAGAACTGAATTCAGAGCCCTTCCAGAAAAGCCCAGAAACTTCTCTGAACTATCTCACTCGTCCATCTGGTCCGAGGCAGCTCCCCCTTCCCCAGCCGTGGGTCGGTCTGTGCCCACGGACCACAGGAAAGCTATTATTTCCATGACTGCTTTACTGTATTTTTAAGTTCCATATACTGTACATTTGATAATAAAATAATATTTTCCAAAAGACAGGCCAGGATGACAATGATATTTTCAGGAGCAAAAAGGGCTTCAAATGAATTTGGGTTTAAATCGGAGCAGTTTAAAAAAAAAAAAACTACTTTTATTCAACCTGTTTATTCTATTCTCTATAAAAGTTTTTAGCAGGCAAGGAAACGAAGTCAAAGGCGGTGGATCATTCCGACGGCCTGTTTGAGAGACAGGAAGGCAGAATCTAACCCGATATGCAGCCAGACCATTTTAGGATTAGAGAAGCAACATTGCTGCAAAAAATCCTACATCAATTTTTTTCTTTTCTACTTTTTTTTTGGTTTTTGCATAGAGACATCCGGGAGTTGTTGTATTGGTATTCCTCAAATATATGCAAAACCGTCATTCTTTTGCTACCCCTGAGAGGAAGGAAAAGACAAAGTTCAGGTAAATATTTGGGAAGACCGTGACTGTCAGCGTTTCAAGAAATGCAGCACTGCCGATTGTTAAAGAATGTCAACACAGACACCAAGGAAGGCTTGGTGTTTCCCGACTCCGAGGGAAGCATAGAGTCTCTCATTCATTAATCCAGCAGTTCCCACCCTTTTTGGCACCAGGGAACGTTTTCGCGGAAGACACTTTTTCCAGGGACCCGGGGGCAAGGGGATGGTTTCGGGATGATTCAAGCGCATTGCATTTATTGTGCACTTTATTTCTACTGTTCTTACGCTGTAGTATATAATGAAATACTTACGCAGCCCGCCATGGGTTGGGGAGCCCTGCGTCAATGCACACACGTGCTCCAGTCTCTCTGCACAGCTGTCACTGTGCGCCAGCTACCCGGAGGGGCCCCGGGGAAACAGGTAGCGCATCATGTCCTAACGACCAACATACGCGCCCTTCAGCTAGGTCTCTCGGCCACAGAGTGAGTGACATTTGGGGCTGGACCGTTTTCTGTGGTGGGGCTTCCCATGCACTTAGTAGGGTGTCAAGCAGTGTCCCTGGGCTCCACCTGCCAGATGCCAGTAGCACCCACCCCTGGGTTGTGACAACCAAAAATGTCTCTGATCATTACCAAATGCCCCTCTAGGGGTACAGAATTGCCCTTAACTGACAGCCGTAGATAGATGATTGATAGGTAGATATTAATAGAAAGAGCCTCATGCTAAGACAACATTTCTCAACCTCAGCACTATAGGTATTTGGGGGTGGAGGACTCACTTTGGGGGGGCACGTCCCGTGCCCTGTAGGGTGTCAAGCACGGTCCCTGGGCCACACCCACCAGATGCCAGCAGCACCCAAAACCTAATCATCACAACCAAAAATGTCTCTTCCAGACATAGCCAAGTGTCCCCTGGGGGCAAGGTTGTCCCTGGTTGAGAACCACTGTTAGATAGACAGACAGATTGATAGATATATAGATAGAAGATGGATAGATAGGTAGATGATGGATAGATAAATAGATAATACTTAGATAGATGAGAGTCCCAGGGGATTCAAAGACCAGGTCAACAGTAATGTGAGAGACATTTTTGTGTGTCCGACGTGGCATTTTGGCTGAGTCGATCATAGAAAGATGCCTGGGCAGGAGTGGGGATGGCTCTCCTGTCAGCAAAAGAGTTACGAAGACAGATGCCCCAAGCAAGGAGAACTGGGGTCTACTGACAGATAAAAGGTAATAGATGTATTTGGACGATGGTGGAAAATGTGGGGGTTTTTGTTGTTGTTGATCATGGTAGGATGTTGTGGTTGGTTAAATAATGTCCTGCTAAAAGTCATGTCTACCTAGAACCTCAGAATGTGGCCTTGTTTGGAAATAAGGTCTCTGTAGATGTAATTAGGGAAGGACCTCGACATGAGACCATCTAGGATTAGGGAGGGCCCTAAACCCAATGGCAGGTGGCAGAGAAGGAGACACAGACGCAGAGGAGAAGCCACGTGGAGACGGAGGCAGAGACTGGAGTGACGCGGCCACAAGCCCAGGGACGCCTGGAGCCCCCAGGAGCCGGAAGAGGCAGGAAGGAGCCTCCCCTGGAGCCTGCGGAGGGAGCGTGGCCCTGAGACACCTGCGTCTCAGACTCCTGGACTCCGGGACTGGGACTGGGAGAGGACACACTTCTATTGTTTTAAGCCCTCAGATTGGAGTCATTGGTTATACCAGCCCCAGGGAAACAAACACAAATATTTAAAAATTTCTTGTAGGAACATGAGATGATGAGAGGTGCTTAGCACTTTATGACTCAGGAAGAGGCATTTAAACCCATTTGCCTAGCACAAGGAGATGTGTGATTAGTGAGCCCATCGTTCACTGGAATCACATACGTCAGCTACCATGATCCACAAGTGATAGACTAACTCAAAGATGGTTGGTTATTTCCTTCCCTCCATGGGTAACTCCTAACATCTGGTGTGTGTGCTTGTAAATGTGTGTGCACAAGCAAAATCTTTAGCCAACGGTCCATTGTCACTCTCTGATTGCTCCCAGGTGCCTCCTTAAAAACAAAACCCAAACCACGCCATTCTCTTGGAGGTTTGGTTTGGTTTGGTTTGTCATTGCAAGGAAAGCCTTCGTGACTCGGCGCAAGGCCAGGTGAGGATGCCCCTACCCTGCTGCTAGATTCAATCTGCGAGACATCACATCCTACTGGAGATTTTTCTGCGCCTTGATCTTGTACAGCTCTGGTGTTCAATGACAGGTTCATGTTGATACCGCAGAGGGATAGCATAGAGTTCCCCACAAGACCTGACTTCTTTAGGGTAAAAAAAACCTAAAGATCAATTTGCCTCTATCCTGAGAGAGGATGTTTGGCGTCTTTCCTAACAGTCTTTAATTTTTAGCCTTGTCAGGACCCAATAACTTTCTTAAGACACAATAAACCAGTGGTTCTTGTTGGCTTCATCTCTACTTACCTGGATAGATTAAAAATATCCTTACTCTATGGGTGTTTCTTGCCTGAGGCTGCAATAACGGATGCAAACAGACAACCTACAGGATGGGAGAAAATATTCACAAGCTATACATCCACGGAACTGGTGGCTTAACACGACAGTCTTCCAGTGCAGAGTTTAAATCATGCTACCCCAGCCAAACCTCCTCAGATTGGATTCCCAAATTTACAGAATAAAGTTCGCAATGTTGAGTTACTAAATATGGCCTTCCATTACCATTCATTTTTTTTTCAATTGTTAGATTTCAAAATATTAAGGGGGTACAAATGTTTTAGTTTACGTAGATTGCATTTGTAATGCTTCTGTTCTGGCTATAGGTGTGTCCGTCCCCCAAATAGTGTTCGTCACACCCATTAGGTAGGTTTTTGCCCCTCTTCTCCTTCCCCTCCGCCCTGGTTGATTTCCACTGAGTTTTCTCTTCCCTTTGTGCACACATGTGCTCATCGGTTATTTCCAATTTCATAGTGAGTACATGTGGTGTTTGTTTTTCCATTCTTGAGAAACTAAAAAGGTTCTGCACAGGTAAAGAAACAATAAATAGAACAAATAGAGAACAGAAAATATCCACAAGCTATACATCCAATGAAGGGCTGATAACCAGAATCTACAAAGAACTCAAGCAAATCAACAAGAAAAAACCAAACAACCCTATTAAAAAATTGGCAAAAGACCTGAACGGAAGCTTCTCAAAAGAAGAAAGACAAATGTCTAATAAACATATAAAAAATGCTCAATGTCACTAATCATCAGGGAAATGCAAATTAAAACCACAGCAAAATTTCACCTTACCCCCATTAGAATGGCTTTTATTAAAATGTCCAAAAACAATAGATGCTGGCATGGATGCAGAGAGAAAGAAATGCTTATACTCTGTTGGTGCGACTGCACATTAGTACAACCTCTATGGAAACCAGTATGGAGATACCGTCTACGTCATTCTTTTCTCCGCATTTTCATGCAAAAAGAATTATTATTTTCATCCAAACAGGTGTGAGTCTCTATCAAAG